GGGAGATTCATTTTTTTTTGGCCCCGGGGTTTTTGGGGCTTCGGGGGGCCCCCCCCCCCCGGGTTGGTGTGGGGGGCCCTTTTTTAAAACCCGGTTTTTTAAATTTCGCCCCCTTTTCCCCCAATTTGTTTAAAGGGGAAGGCCCTTTTTAAATTTTTTGGCGCCCAAGAACCTTCCCCCCCCCTTTTTTTTTTTTTTTTTGCCGGGAGTTCCCCTTTAAAAACCCCCCCCCCCCCCCCCCCCCCTGCACCTATACCCAAAACACCGTCCGTGCGTCGTGTTAATTTTCTTGCAGGCAAGGGCAGCGTAGACCTTGTCGAGGACCTCCTCCGCGCCGGCGCCGACCCCTCCGCCCGCATCGCCTACCCGCCCCCAAGGTCCACCCCGTTGCACAGCGCCTGCCGCTCCACCCGCCTTGGCGCCGTCAAGGCGCTCCTCCTTGCCGGGGCCGACGAGACCATGGGGGACATGACACCGCCGCCGGCCCAGCTGCCGGCCGTCCCGAACGCACCGCCGCCGCCTTCGACGACGCCCGTTGGCGTGGTGGGACTTGGAAACTGCGGGCGTGACGAGGACCCGACGCTGAGGCTGACGACGGAATCGGCTGCGGAGCACGCGAGGCGGCGGGACCCGCAGACGATGGAGGCCATTCGAATGGCGCTGAGGTGCGCGCGGTTGGTTGATTGGTGGGTGTTCCTAGGGGGTCGTTGTCTTCGCGAGGGAAGAGAGACACAGACAGGGGGAGACAAACAGACGGGCAGACAGAGAAAGAGAGAAAGAGAGAAAGAGAGAGAGAGAGAGAGAGAGAGAGAGAGCCAATAGAGTAGTCTGCAATAGCGGGAGGGCGACCTTTGCTGAATCGCGTAACAACGACTTGAATCAATCTGAAACCATTTTCGCACCCAGCCGTTAAGCTCATGCCACTGCTGCTGTGCCTTTTGTTCCCACCCGCGCCTCGCCACACACAAAACACACGCAGGAATGCGCCCGCAGATCGCGCATGGCGCCGAAGATCCTGGCTGGTGATGCTCCGGGTATCAGCGGAGGCGGAGGCGGCGGCGAAGGCGACCCGCAAGAAGTGGGAGCTGTCGTCGATGGCCGGCAGCGTGGTCGACTTGATCGGGAACAGGCTCGTTTTGGGGGAGGCAGGCAGGGAGCAGGGGGCCAAAGACGCCGTCGATAAGGAGGAGAGAGTAACGGGTGGCGGCGGCGGCGGCGTGGAGAACGGCGCGGGGAACGGCACGGCGGAGGACGCCGCCGCTGCCGCCGACGCCGACCATAGCAAGCGAGCGAAGCGGGGCGGGGGCGGCGGCGACGGGGACAAGGCGGCGGGCGGCGGCAAGAGGGAGGGGGACGAGGCTCCGAGTGGCGTTGCAGCAGAGGAGGCGTGTGCCCGGGAGGGGTCCGCGAAAGAAGCGCCACCCGCCGCGCATCGTGAGGGCGCCCATCTCGATGCCGATGGCGGAAATAATGGCTCTCATGGGGGGGTGACGGCGGTGGTGGCGAGGGAGCAAGGCGAGGCGCAGGGGGAGGCGGGAGAAGGCGCCGGCGGCGATGATGTTGGCGATGGGGATGGCGCGAGAGTGCTGCGGTGGCTGTGCGGGAGACTGTTCGATCTCGCGGCGGTGGAGGAAGGGGCGTTCCGAAACGTGGTGTTGTTCCTGTAGCCAGGGCACAAAAACTAGGGAGGGATGTAACGGGCGGGAGGGGTGTTTGGGCAGCCACGTCGTGCACAGGAAACATGCATGTTGTATGTGGCACCCGTTGGATACACCCACCGCCAGGTGGAAACTCCCGTGTATGTGACGCTCAAGTGCTCAATGAGAACTGCAACTGCTTTCTTAATCGGCCCAAGAAAAACGCCGAGATGGACCCATGGAGTTGAAGGGGTGGGTTACCCTCCGACCCTCTTTTTTCGTTTATTGGTCGGTTGCTGCTTTTGTTCTTGCCTGCTTGCTCTTGTGGGGAGACGAAGAATCGCACCGAACACCAAGATACCTTGTACCTCACGCGGCAAAGACAACCTACCCGCTCAAGATGACAAAAATGTATCAGACGTTTTGAATCATTCGTGTTGGTTGTCGTTGTCAGATGCGGATCCGTCGCTGGCATTTCTCTTCTACCGTACCGACAACATGTGGTTTTTCTGGCGATCCATGGCTTGCGCGAGCACTCGGCCTTATCCGTTCGCGAGGATGCTCTTTGAAAGACGGGCAACTAAAAAGACTGCGCGAGGTTGCATCATCCTAACTTAACTGTGTTGATTGGAAGGGGGCGTGCGCATGCGTGCCAAGCGTCATGCCGACGCCAGGAGGCCGTAGAGCAACATCTCTTGAGGGATATTTGTTTCCTCGAGTATTTTTTAGGGAGGGGGGCGGGGGTTGTGTCTTGCCGCAACGGCCCCGTCAAAGATCGCGCCGGTATGTGGCCGCCGAAAACATCGCCACTGCAACGGATACCAGCACTATTCCACCGGTACTAAAACGAATGGACCGCTATTGATACTACTGTATACTGGTAGAAGTATGTGCCAGATGCGTTGTGTTCATCGCAAGTGGGCGCTCACTGGGGTGCCCTCTCTCTCACACGCTGTGTCTTTCCCGGTATTCCGTTCTGCTGAAATAAACAGCAAAAACAAAGCCCCGTGGTCCGGCGTGTATCGGTCGGGGGCAGGGTGCTGCTCTGTCTTTTTTTGCCCCATCTTGGAAAGTATCGCAACAAAAACGCGCGAGTAAAAAAGGATCATGTCTTGTATTGTTTCTTGAGTTCTCTGCTGAGTCAGAGTCCCGTGTTTTGGGTTCAAGATATATAATATGTGCAAAGATTCGCTGCCGAATTAAGTCCGAATGGAGCATGGTCTAACGCGCGAAAACATGACAAACTATGTAAACGTGAAGGATAGTTGGGAAATAACACGAGTGGCTTGAAGAAGACTGGCAACGCAAGACGTACAGACTACTTTTAAATGGGCACAAGTTCTGCCCAACGCATGCCAGTCAACACAGCAAGGAGAGAGAGACCAACCCCGGGCAGTCAAAATCCCATCTTGCGAAGCGTGGCAATTCGACACATCCATCACCCTTCAGCCTGCGGGAGAATACAACCAAGAAAAGAACACATGGGTGGAGGGAAAAGTATAGACTATCGCGAACGAACTAAAACACAAGACAGACACGCCTTTTTACCACCGGTTCCTACACCGAAGTTGAAGTTGCACATCACACACCCCTTTGGCCGGCTTCAATCCTTCGTATTGGGTGTTTAGTCCTTGTTCGATTTTCTTTAAAATGTTACCTCGCTTGCATTTTTCAACATGCTGCAACGTACTGCGTTTCATGTCCTTTCCGCCTTCTTTTCCCCATCGCGTTCCACCCACAGCGAGGGAAATATGTCATGATTGACTGTTTAGCCGTCCAACCTCGCGTTCCTTTGCCCTGTGAACCACCCGCCCGGCCCAAACTGGTCAGCACAGGAAGGGTACTCTTGACTCCACCTCTACATTGGACTTGGTTCCTCGTGAGGCTCACAAAAATCATCCAGCCGGAGAACACACGGGACGAACGACAGCTAGTCTTATCCCTCCAAAATCCCGTCAGCAAAGTTCCTCCCTCTCCCAAGCCTCTTCTTGGTGTTGGACGAACACATCCCGGAGAGGCGGCAGCTTGTACTCCTATGGTACCAAATAAGTACTACCTGGTACAATATAATCTCCAACATCCCGTCGACAACGTTACTCCTTCTCCCACGCCTCTTATTGGTGTTCGATGAGTACATCCCGGAGCGGCAGCAGCTTGTACTCCTCCTACAACATACGCACTTCACCCGTCCACAAAAATTTCAGGATCGAGATCCCGGCAAACACGACCGTCCTCTGCCTAGATCCCTCGATCCTTCGAAGAACACCACAGCTCACCTACACAACCTCTCGAAAAAATGCTTCACACCTCCCCCTCTCCCTCTCCCACATACGTCTCAGTTTTCCTGTCTTGTAAGCGTCTGTCGATCAAAAAAACACCACTAGGAATAAACAACTTACAGCTACGTCCCGGAGGGCCCCACTCAAGCGTACCCTCATATCCGGTTCCTGTGTTTCCATGTTTCTCTCTAAAACTAAAAAAGAAAAAAGTGAATATGAGCAACGCAACGAACCTTGTGTCGCTGAGAGGCTTCCATTCAAGTGCACCCCCAGCCCTCACGTCCTGTTTACTCTGTCAACAAACAACACTTTCACCGTGCTGTATGCATAGCACGTTACCCCCGTATCCCACATCTCGAGCGGGCAAGCATGTTTCATACCTGGACAAAAACTGTACAGCAGTAGTGTCTTGTACTCCTCACATTTTTTCAGCGAACGGATCGTCAGCGACAGAAAAAAACACCGCAATCAGCGCACGCTCACGGCCATCACTACTCTTCAATTCTACAGCAGAAGGGGCTGATATCTTCCCGATGAGTTGTGGACACACGAAACCGAAAATCAGCCCCGTCCTCCGTGCGTCTCTCTATGTACCTATTATAGCTACAGGCTCATTAGTCCTTCAACACAGCCAACCTTCGGTCGGCCGCCATGTCGTGGGCCCGTCCGCCTACGTTTGCCAAGAAAGCACGGTCGTGGCAGCCAGCCCCAGGAGTCTCATGGGGGAGCGCGGCAGATCGATTCCAAAACCCACCACATTCCAAAACCCACTACATGAAACCTACGTACAATTGGCTTGTCTAGAGCCGGCCGTCGATCTCTCCTCCTGACCACCCTCGACCCCGTCGCCCCCGTTACTGAGCAGCGCACCCGGGGCGCGGGCATCCACGGCGGACGCCATCATGTCGAGAGCGGCGCCAAGGCCGGCGGCGGGAGTGGTCTTGTTTTGCAGCGGCCCGCAACTGCCTTTGCCGTTGCCGCGGCTAGCGGGGCTGCCATCGTCACCGGCGCCGGCGCCGGCGCCGCTGCTGCTGCTGCGATCTTGAGAGGGCGAGCGGCTAGACGAGGGGGTTGTCGCTCTTGGGCGAGAGGAGGCCGCTAAAGCCTGATTGGTGGGGGCACGGAGGGGGGCAAGGTTGTTTGTCGTCGACATCGCGTGTGGGTTCGAAGTGCGGATGCCGCTGCTGCTGCAGAATGGCTCGGACCAACAATCACGACGGGCTACCAACGGACGGAATACGCTGCACTCGATGGCGGAGAGCATTCGACAAGCCTTCATGCCGTCCCATGCGCCCCGTGCACAATATACCCGGGTCAAAAGTGTTCTTCCAAGCGTCGACGCCGAAGGGTGCATGTGTTGCTGCTGCAGCAGCGGGGGGCGGGGGGCGGGGCCTACCTTCCATGAATCGAGTCCCCACACAACTTTTCTCTCACCATAATGTCGAGGGCTCCACTGAACGCCATCCCGTTCAAGGGGGGAGTCTTAACAGGCGACGACACCGCCCCTGCTTCCGGCCGGGAGCGTCTGTCCTCCGGGGGGGAAAGCGGAGCCGACCCGGCAACGACCTCACCCCCGCTGCTGGCCGCCGCCGGGGGTGTCTCCCAGGCGATCTCGCGCGCTATCGACTGCTGATCCGCCCCCGCTGTGCCGGCATCACTCACCGCGGAAGCGGTGGACTGCTGTTCCACCACCCGTGGTTCCTTCCCTGTGGGGCCGTCGGCACCGCCGCCGCCGCCGTTCGGAGTCGTGCTGCTTCCGTTGGGCAGGGCATCACCAGCAGCAGCAGCAGCAGCAGCAGCAGCAGCACTCGATGATTCGGCGTCGCCCCCGCCACCCGGTCGCGCCACGCCGTCATTTACATACGGCGGTGACCCCGAGGCGCCGGCGCCGGCGCCGGCTTCACGCTTGACTGCATCTCCGCTAGCAGAGCTAGCACCTGCCGCCGTCGTCTGCTCCTCCCCAACGGGGATCGCGACTCCACCGTCGTCCCCCCGCCGCCGCTTGCTCGCCGGATCGTCGCCGGAGCCGGCACCGCCCTCAGCGCCGCCGCCCGTGCCGCCGTTGGGTTCACCTCTGCCACCGCCGCCGCCGCCGACGTCCGCGCCGCCCGATTCCGTAGGAGACGGGTCGTCCGTCCTGGGGTGCTTGCCGAGAGCAGGCGCGGGGGTTTCCGGGGTGCCGGGTGCAGGAGCCTCTCCCGGTGCGTTGCCTGCCGCACCGCCTTCTCCTTCCTCCTCCTCCTCTTCCTCTTCCACCTTCTCCTCTTCCTCCTCCTCCTGTTCCTTCGCCTCTTCCTCCTTCGCTGTAATCATTTCAGCGTTTACCTCCGGCACAGCCTGCATGCCGCCGCCCGCACCTTCCTCGGCGCCTTCTCCTTCCTCCTCCTCCTCCTCCTCCTCCTCCTCCTCCTCCTCCTCCCCGGTATCCATAGGAACCAACGGCGACAAGCCGTCGGCCATCATCGCCGGGGCCGACGTCCCCTCACCGGGGCCGGCCGGGGCCGTGTCGTCATCGCCGCCGCCGTCCCCGTCGCCGTCCCTGCCGCCGGCGGTGCCACCGAGGCCAACCTCGCCGTCTTGAGGAGGGCTGTCACTCTCTCCGTTCTCCGGCGGGGACTCAGCGGAGACCTGATTTTCACCTTCTTCTTCGGGTGCTTTTTCCTCCTCTTCCTCTTCGTCTTCCTCTTCCTCCTCATCCTCTTTCTCCTTCAATGATGCAACGGCCCATCCCGCCTCAGCACGCTGAAAATCCAGGGGAGCGGGGGTCGACAACAAGGAACGAACGTTAGTTTGGTGCGACACTCAATGGCCTGCGGCTCTCGACAAAGCCGGAAACAAGCAACGCCGGTTTTTTACCACGTAGGAAGGGATAGCGCGCAGGGGGGCTCGTGCATGGGGGAGTTTTGTTTATATTTCAAGCATCTAACAAACGCGCGCGCCTCACCCAGACTTAAGACAATACCCCGACCAGCCTCGGCTGGGGAAAAAAAACGAGAATGCTCTCAAAACAGTCCGCACGGTCCACCAACAGGGGAGTCTGGACGGAAAGCGCCCGTCTCATGCGTGTGCTGCGCCTGTATGCACCAGGACGACCCAAACGAGCCATCTGTCACGGGAAACGCGTTCGGTTCGCGGTGGCCGCGTCAGACATACATGTACGGCAAGATGGTCTTTCACGCCCACAAGAAAAAAAAAGCCACACGCACACGGATCACGGACCCACGCCAGACGCCAAGGCAACACATAACGGGGCTGCGGAGGGAGGGGGGGGGCTGCCCCAACCCTACCTGTCCGAGCCAACGGTGCTCGATGCAGTAAATGTCGAGAGAGAGATCTTTCGAGGTGCTCCAAATTTCGGCGTACCATATCCCCGAAAGCTACCTGGCTTCTCGGTGTGCGGTGAGGATCGCCTTTTCATCGCGGTGCTTGCTGTCCGTATCAAAACGAGAGCAACACACACACACAGCCCCCCCCTGCCGGTACCTGTTGACTAGAAAGCTTGTTTTCGTTCTCTTATCCCGCACTAAGACTGGCTTCGCTTGGTTGGGCAGCCGCCTACTGTAGCGCGGTCGATGCTAATCAAAACACACACGCGCGCGCGCGCACATGCGTGGACGAAGGTTCCAACAACATTCTCATCAACAACAGCCACGAACACGACCGACAACAGCAGTAGGACTCCCACGTGCACTCACGATCAAGCGGCCGCTGCGTCTCCTGGGCTGCGCCTCCAGCGCGAGCTGTCTCTTCTCCCTTGCCTCGTCCGCGAGCCTCCGCTTCTCCTCCTTCTCCATGCTTTCCCTCACCCATGTTCCCATCTCTTCCACTTCCTGGTGACAACGGCAAACGGTATGCAAACAACGTGGTACGGTTCGTTTGCGGAATGTATCAGGAGGATAGAGGGTTAGAAGAACAGGGGGGGGGGGGTACTCATAGTCGTGCATGCCGTAACGTTTGACCATTGACCTCCCATCCCTACAAAGCCGTGACGGAACACGCCGGGTTCTCACCGGACTAGGCTCTCACATCACCAAAAACAGGGGGGGGGGGGGGGGGGGGGGGGCCCCCCCAAACCAAAAAAAAAGGGGGGGGGGAAAAAATCCCCCCTCTTGGGGGAAAACCAAAAAAATAATTTTTTTCCCT